TGATTTGTATACTGCAACTGTACATCTGACTGGATAAAGTAGGATACCCGGGTATTTTTGGCATATTATATTTGACATACTACTTATTGGAACGCACTAAATTGTTTTCTAGCATACTCTATGGCATGGTAGTATGGCTATTGGAGCGCACCCACTAAAGCGAACTATGAGCGGAACCAACTTGACTGGCAACAGATTCCAGTCGGCGTGTAAACAGTGTAACACATCATGTCCACAGCAGCAGAAGTTTTTGTAGCTAATTGAGTCAAACCAAGTCTTTTATTAAAACAAATGAAAGCCAGGCGTCGTTGTATTTAGATTGACAGTAGCCATGAGACTGTACCAGGCTCTCCGTAACGTCGACAAGTTCAGAACCGTGTTCGACTTCGGCGGGCGGGATGTGGCTCACTGGTTCCCCGGACACATGGCTAAAGGTGACAGCTTCAGCTTATCGCCTGAATAAGTAAAATGTGTGCATGCATTTGAAACATACGTGTTTGTCGCTTGTGTTAAATTTACTGTTCGGTTTGTAGTCTTATTTCTTGTAAAAGTAGTTTAAATCTTTGCAGGACTCAAACAGATGAGAGCCAACCTCAAGAATGTGGACTGCATCATAGAAATCCATGATGCCAGAATATCCTTTATTTGTTTGTGCTTTTACTGCATTCGACAGAGTACAGCAAAATTCATGGCGGTGACATGACACTTTTTATTACAGGTTTACTATATATCCAGGTTATGTCGTCATGTTGTAGTAATATATTTTCTGGTAATAGCGGAAGATGTCTTCTTTTTTTTAGCCCTTTCTGTACAATCTGTTTTGGGGCCTATGACATATGCCTCTATTTGAAGCATAGTAACTTTTCATGTAAACATCCAAGAACTCAATTAGTGAAAACGACACTTATAGAGTTAAATGTGTGAGAGTATTTACTAACAAAAAGACACAGAAAACATTTACCTATTATTTACCTAAACCTTTTATTGGCATATTTTAGGACATAAACTGTTCCATGTTGCTGTTACAATAAATGATTTTGATGCTGATGTGTTGCATATTCCTAATCCAGTGTGTTAAAGCAAATTACCACACTGCTCATCTGGGTTCAGGCAGTACTGTAACACAATAACTGTGCACATTAGACCGCTCCAAAATGATCTGATCATCCTTGCTTTTTCTTTAACATTAAGCACATCCCCCTCTCTGGGAGAAACCCTGTGTTTCAGGACACACTGAACGTTCGACCACATCTGCTAATTCTTAACAAGGTGGACCTGACTGATCTGTCCAATAAGCAGGTTGAAGTCTTGCTGCTATTTTTTTTTTTAACAAAATCACAGGTCTCCAGCATTTTAAAATGACTATTCCCACACAAAATCTGTCTTTGCATTTTCCCTGCAGAGAATCCTGAAGACACTAGGAAAAACTGGAGTGAAGAATGTTCTCTTTACAGACTGTTTAAAGCAGAGAGATGACAACATCAAAAAGGTAAAGGAGGTCTTCATGTGATACTAAACACTCACCTGTTTGTAAAAGTTTACTTTCAGATGAAATGAAATAAATGATCAGCATAAATGTGCAAATTATTTTGGTTGCTTTTTGTTTCTTTTTTTGTAGTTGGTGCCAAAATTGATGGAAATTATTGAGAGCAAACCACGTTACAACAGAGAGGAGGTATGCTTCCTCCACACAGTTTACACATATTTTAGCTAATTTCAACAAGGATACAAATGAGCTAAAAACTATTGTCCAGCACACTGTAGACAGCTGTCAGTGCTCTCTGGCAGAGAGTATCATCCAGTATTTTAAAAACCTCAAGTGCTTATTTTCTTCTTTCCAGAAGAACACATCCTCAATAAGCTGAATAAGAAATCTACAAAAATGATCCCAAATTTACAAAGATAATACCCTGTCAGAGCTATGAACAATGCTTGTAAAGTGATAAATCTCTTCTTAACTCACATCTCATTTATTAAAATTCATTATTAGCCAGAAATATGGAAGTAAGATGTTCACCATTATGCTTTTTCATTGTGACTACAGCTCATTTTCTGCTACAGCATGGAGCCAAATTCACATTTACTTCCTTTTGCATTTATTATAGTTTTCTAGCTATTCAGTTATTGGAGAATAAATGTCAACATACTGTCGATGCTGTATCTTTGTCCTGTAAAACTTTCAGAATACAAATTACTGCCTGATGGTGATCGGAGTGCCTAATGTGGGGAAATCATCTCTTATCAATTCACTGAGAAGAACAAACCTGAAAAAAGGTGTGTATTAAAGAGCAACTGATCGAGTATGATGCTGGGAAAAATCTGTCACCTCCTCGTTAATAAAGATTAAAATTGTACACCAATTTCAGGTCGTGCATCTCGAGTAGGTGGAGAGCCAGGTATAACTAGAGCTGTCCTGACCAGAATTCAGGTGTGTATAGAGGAAATATTTGTTTATATGTATGTGTCTGGCTGCAAGGTGGCACGGTGGTTAGGTCAGTGGTTCGCATCCCGGCGAGGCGAGGACACCAGAGATCTTTCTTTGTGGAGTTTGCATGTTCTCCCCGTGCAGCGTGGGTTCTCTCCAGGTTCTCCAGCTTCCTCCCACAAGGTCCAAAAACATGTTGAGGTTGATTGGTGATTCTAAATTGTCCGTAGGTGTGAATGTGAGTGTGCTTGGTTGTCTGTCTCTAAGTGTAGCCCTGTGATAGACTGGTGACCTGTCCAGGGTGTCCCCTGCCTTCGCCCTAAGTAGATGGATGTGTCTTCATGGTTTATTGTGTGTGTGCACCTGTACAATATTTTTAGCTGTTGTTCTCCTCAGGTGTGTGAGCGACCGATAATGTACCTGTTGGACACACCAGGAGTCTTGCCTCCTAGGATTGAGAATGTTGAAACAGGCATGAAGTTGGCCTTATGTGGTGAGCAAAACGCTGCTCATATATTTTTACTCATTTATCAACATAACAGTTACTGTCATTCAGGAAGCACAATGTGTTTTCTTGTATTTTTCTCAGCAAATGTTTTTCTTATTTATTATTTGCTCCAGGAACTATACTGGACCATTTAGTGGGTGAAGACGTTATCGCTGACTACTTACTCTACTCTCTGAACAGGCTTGGAAAGTTCAGGTGTGATTTTTAGTTTGTTTGTTTTTTAATGCCTTAGCTATGTATAAACTTTAATGTGCTCAGTTTTGCTTTCATATTTCTCAGATTCTTTACTCTGTGTGTGTTTATGTGCAGTTATGTGGAGAAATATGAGCTTCCAGAACCTAGTGATGACATCCAGCATGTCCTCAAACATATTGCTGTGAAACTTGGAAAGACTCAGCGGGTCAAAGCTATTACTGGAGTGGGTAAGAAAACATAGCAATACAAATTTATAGTGATAGACAATGAACAGCCAGAGCTGCCACAAAATATTGTAGCTATGTTTTCGATGTTGAACCATTTGTAATTCTGCCGAGGGAAATGTTTGTTGCACATTTCACTTTGATTTTACGACGCAATCACTATCGGATTAGCATCCTAGAGTAGTCCCGTAATTAAAGTGCTCGTTCCTTGTCTCCCTCAGGAAACATTACCATCACGATCCCAAACTACACAGCAGCAGCTTATGACTTTATAAGAGCCTTCAGGAAAGGAGAGCTGGGACAAGTGATGCTAGACTGAACTGAGCTATTTTAATGAAGATCATGCAGTTTGTTTGGTTGTGAAGTCAATAAACCCCTGTATCTTTTGTAAATAAATTAATTTATCTATATTGAGCCACAGCATTTGTTCTCAGTCTTGCTTTTAGAAAACACAAGGCAGATATTTGGTATGGTATAAACAGGATATTTATTAGCATAAAGACAGTGATAACAAACTCTTTATTTATTATGTACATAAGTGTTTTAGCATATAATAGAGTGCACTTACAGGATATGGAACAGTCTGTTGCTCCTGAGTGTCATCTGTAGGTAAAGAGGTTTTCTAGGATGATGGACATACCATAAAAACCTTCAGAGACATGAATAAGTATGAGAGCAGCAGTAGGTTTGCTTTTGTCCCTCTTAAGCATGTCTTTGTACACAGGTCTAAAAAATTAATTCACAAAATTTGAGGTGGTGTAAAAGGGTATGAATTGCACTGAAATTAAAGATGATTGTGGAAAACGCCGTTTAGCTTTTCCAATACGCAGCACTCTTATTGTAGAGATTCACAATCATTCAATTAACTGAACAAGATCTTAAAATCCAGCCTGAAAATTAAGTTTTACAGAAAGAACGGAGTGAAAAATGTCATGATGGATGAGGCTGCAAATTGAGAATTGTATTCCTCTATAAAAGACAAATTACAGGGGGGAAAAAATAAATAGTTTTAATTTCAGAGGCAAAAAAAAAATGGTGGTGCCAACTTGGTTCTACTCTGTTCATCTCAGTGGAATGACTAGTAAGCTGCACGTTAGTGTACTGCATAAAGTCCAGCAAATCCAGGCTTTATATTAAGATCCAAGTCCACTACAAAATACAAATCATTTTGCAGAGATATAATATAGGGAACTTTGCATTTTTGTGCATAATAGAGTTTCTCTATATAGTTTGGCAGTAGAATTATAGTTCATAGGCAGCAGTTTGACTACAGTCTGTGAAGTCATTGGTACATTTCTGATAAAATATGTTCTTCAGTTAGATATAATAGTATAATAGTCAAGTTTTAGGGAAGGGTTCAGATTTGCTCTTAAGTTTGGCCCCAGTTTCTATCACATAGGCAGATATAGATTTGACACAGACGCACTCTTTGAGAGGTGAAATGTCACAATGAATACTGTGCTGGTAATGTACATTTGTCCATTGGTATACATGATTATATGTGTAAAAACATACAGTACTGTGACGTTTTTGGGATTGAATCCTTCCACCATGGTGTTGCACCTCTAGCTGATCATCTCAGTGCAGGTTCCTGCACATTATAGTCAGAACCTTGACAGAAAGCTCAGGCTTTGACCCACTCACACAATTATCCCTAAAAATAAAAACAATCAGCCTGAACATCTACAGTAAACTGTCCAGTAAGAGTCCGTATTTAGGAGAAAATGAAGCAATAATGATAGAAACCACTTGAGAGAGAAAAGATCCGTTTTGAGTGGAGCCTGACATGAGTGCATCAAAGTAATTGGTCCTGTTGTAGTAATCCAGCTCTTCGTCTGAGCTGTCTGTGTTGCTGCGGCGGTACGCAGACGCGTACCATTTATCCGCGCTGAGCGCCACCGCGGCCCCCGCTGCTGCCGCGGCCGCCACCCGCACCGGGGACGACCGCCCCGCCGCCCGGAAACGAGAGCGCGTCCCACCGTAGGCGCCTCCTCCCCGGTAGGTCCCCGCCGAGGAGCTGCGGGACGGAGAGCCTCGAGAGGAGCCCCGGGAGCCTCCGCGGCCCCCTTTAGACAGCGCGGGTTCAAACAGGAAGGCAGAGAGCAGGAGGCAAGTCCAGCAGGTCGCAACCACCTGGTTCATCCCTGACATCTGGGCAAGAGGAGGGACCACATGAGCAAAGATTCACATGTTCTCAGGACACGCTGTACCTTTACTGCTTAAAATGGAGCATTTATCGTCTATGTTGGGTGTGGAGCTAAACATCATTTGATTTGGGGGTTCATAGCTTTACAAACAGCTGTAGATAATGAAGTCAGTATAAAATCAGAATACAATGTGACATAACTCACACTTAAGATGTACACTTTAAAACAAGAAGAAGTGTAATTTACAACATTTTTTTAGATGGTTGGGGGGATTATAAAATTAAAAAAGCAAACTTTGCATCATGTCAATTGTAAAATAACATCAACAACCTTTTACTGAAAAAGCACAAAATGAGAAGAGAATATTTGAATTTGGGTTTTCACTAAAAGAATAAAGCATTAAAATAAAAACACGTGAAAAACGTATCATGATTCCACAAACATCTACTTTTTTAATTAACAGGTGAAACTGATCAATTCAAGTTTAAGACACACAGCTCAGCTTTTATTTAAGGTTAAAGATGAAAATACTTCTTTAACATTGATCTGTTAAACATTTTTATGTTAAATGTAAAAACTCATATTAGACTTGATATGATCTAAAATTAAGTGTAACAATTTAAAGCCAAATAGTTTCTTTCACAACGGTATCTTGACATTTTATTACAAGATTTTTTTTGTAAATATCCTTTTAAAAAAAAACAAAATACACATTTTAATAGCCCTTCCCAAAAATCCACATGATCTAATGTAAATGTCCATTAAAGCTATAAAGCTAGAAAACTCAATTGTATTTATTATTATGTGATGGTTGCTTCTTTTCCACTATTTTTCTGGTGCCCTTTTTTTTGTTGTTGTTGCAGGTTTTACAGTGCACGACTGATGAGCAAACGTGAGATGTCCATGTAATGCTCAGTGCTGCTGAATATGGTCACATAAAGGAACATTTCTGTGTTGCACATTGCTCTCTCCAATAAAGTAGGTCAGTTTAAAAATAAATAATGCTCACCAGAGAAAACTGCTGTTGACTTTCACCCTTCGTGTATATGAAATAATGTTCCTTCCATGAATGATTGTGAATAAAACACTAAAATGGCACATTTGTTGGTAGTAATAGGCCATAATTTGACATGCATGGTTGAGTTCTAGCTGATAGCTGGACCATTAAATAGACATGTACAAAATATTATAGTCATTTTATGTACAATATGCTAGTAACAAAACGTTTAACAAATGCAGAGGCAATGCAAATGGATGCATGCAGTATGATCATATTCTCATAAATTAGCTTGTTGGCTTCTGTAGCTTGAAGGAACCACACCGTTCATAAACACATACACTGTCTAAATACACAGCTTGTAACCAGCAGCTTATATCCTGATGGACTGTCCTTACCTTATTCACTGGCGTTGTTATCCTGCTTTATGTTTTGGCACTCGGAGGAAAGATGAAGGGGATGTTGTCGTGGACAATGCAGGCTCGTTCACGATTGCGAGAACGCGCGGCGCGTTCACACAAGCGCATCTCAAGACTCTGATACAACAAATACAGTGATGTTTGTCAGAGTGGGTGGGTCTCTTCAGAGGTGTCTTATCATCTTATTTTTAACTATTACCTTTGAAAGTATTTTTGTTTAATATACGGATTCGTTTGTTTGTCCATTAAGTCCATTATCGAATTTCCCCTCGGGGATTAATTTCTATTCTATTCTATTCTATTCTATTCTATTCTATTCTATTCTATTCTAGTAATCCAATTACCTTGTTTAACTTGATGATTTTTTGTTGACAGCTGGTATGTTTGGTTTCTCACTGAGAGTGCAAAGAGATATCTCTATTTGCTAAACATAATTGCTCAGTATAATGTGTATATGATCTCTTTCAATATTTTTTTGTGGTGGTTTTGTGGTTTACGAAAAAGAAACTGTATTTTTATTCTGCTAAAAAACTAAAAAACATTAATGGGACACATTCCATGTAACATTTTAACACTATTGAGATATAATTTAATAATATGTATATATTTTTTGTCAATATTACCAGGACATATATAAATATCAAATATTTTATTTCCCACATTACTGTAAGGTAGCCTATATGAAAATGGTAAAACAAATAAATTCAGACCCTGCATATAGATAGATAGATAGATAGATAGATAGATAGATAGATAGATAGATAGATAGATAGATAGACAGATAGACAGATAGGTAGATAGATAGATAGAAGTCGAATAAACTTTTATTCAGAAATATTGAAAGGTTAAGCTTATTCCCAGTTCCAGGTTTTTATTTTTCATTTCAGTCTGTTTTTGTGATTATATTGATATTTTAATGTATTTCAGGTAAAAGGTTTAAAAATAAATAAAAGTAAAAAAATCTGTTAACTGAAAAGAAAAAATCAGTGCAAGTACAGATTTGTTTTTACAGTGAAGGTAACTACACCCTGCATGCTTCTCCCTCCGCCGCCACCAGGGGCGGTCACGTAACTTCCTTACACTCGCTACCTCATGGAAAAACACAAACGAAGAAGAAGCTGCAGTAGGAAGGAGCTGCTCTTGATCCTGAAACAGTTCACTACTACTAGGCTGCTGTCATGGCCTTTCTCTGCAGAACTGCCGCTTCGCTCCTGAAGCCGTCCAGAACCGCCCCGGCCCTGCTGTCCGCCGCCCGCCTCTACAGCTCAGGTGTGTGTTTAAAACCAGTCCGGTCAGTTTACTGCAGCTGCTCCGACAGCTGCTCCGCCACAATGTCAAGAAGCGTCACTGGAAGTGCGACACATGTGGAGAGCAGCAGACTGCTCGGGACCTGAGTTTGTTGCAGCATTTCATTCGAGTTATTGAGACCACAAACCCTTTTATGACTGAGCTTTAATGAAAGTTAATGTCTTCCTTATGCTAACAAGCTGTTGTTGACGTAAGAACAGGTGCTGTGTAAAGGGAACCTCTGCAGTAAAGTGCACTTTACAGGTGTCACCTTTATCAGGTGTTAAATGTAGCTGAATAATTGCAGCAACTTTCAGGACAAAATGGCAGCAGTTAGTGAGTTTACAGGGACGTTTCAAGATATGAAGTGACAGCTTGAAGACCTTCCCTGATATGAGATCAAATAATATATGCTTATTTAATTTGGATGTGTTTAAGTGTGATGTCTTTATATGAAGAACAGTGTCAAGACACACAATTTAATTAGTCTTTTTAGTTACTGTTCCAAATGATTTTATTCTGCTTGCATTTGTGGACTGTTTAGTCCAAAACTTGTATGTATCTCAGTTTGTGGTGTCTTGCAAGCTCAGACACACCTGGCACAGACACAGTCAAAGAAAACATTTGTTCATTTAGATTTAGCTCAATGTCATTACTAATTAGTAGAATAGAGTTGGTTGCTCAATATCAATAAATCAGCTCAGAGGTCTTCAAGGTCTGTGTAAAGTCCTGCTGCAAGGCTGTTAGCATTGACCCCTCACCTTTCCTTGAATAATTGACAAGGATTTCACCTTGCTTTGTGGTAGTGGTGTTTTTTCTTGTGAAGATTGTGACCTGTCACCTAGTTAAGACGCTGTAGGGCAGTTAAGGAGTGGACGCAAGAGTGACACTGCAGACCATGCACACAGTGACTAAGCACTAAAGTCAGATTCCTCAAAATGGGATTAAAAAAGTTAATGACATGAAAATGACAAAAGTGTTGAACTCCCTCAGTGGTGTTTTTTGTTGTTGTGGTTGTTTTTGCACCTTGTTGACCTCAATCAGTCAGTCTTTATTTATATAGCACTGTAAATACAAATACAACGCCACACAAAGTGCTTTTAGAAGCATAGAAATGCAATAAAAGCAGTAAAAACAAAAAAATGTGAGTAAAATTAACAACCAGAGAGGGATTAAATATTTTCAATTGTTTATCATTGGCAGTAATGTTATTTTTTTTTAAAAAAACATCTAATAGACTCAACAGAAAACATATGTAGCAGTAATAAATAACTATGCATCATATTATCCCTGATGGTTTTCATCACACTTTCGTACTTAGGGTGGTGTGATTGTGAAACAGCTATTTTACTGCATTCTTTGTAGTATTAGCAACGTGGAGAACCCTCGGCGTCTAAAATCTCACCTCACCGTCAGTGTTGTTTGCGTCTTCATGCAGGTGGTCAGTATGAGTACATTCTGGTGGAAAAGCGAGGTGAGAACAAGAACGTGGGTTTCATTCAGCTGAACCGGCCCAAGGCCCTGAACGCTCTGTGTGACGGGCTGATGAGGGAGGTGGGTCAGGCGCTGGATGCCTTCGAAGTGGACGGAGACATCGGAGCCATTGTCATTACGGGCAGTGACAGAGCCTTTGCTGGTGAGGGAGCTGAGTGTGTTTTCTGTGCTTGTGTTTGCATTTGTTCTTCATTGATATCAGTTATATAATTTACTTTGAACTGTTTACAGTAATACGTAAACTCAATGTTTGTGTTTGTTGTAGCTGGAGCGGACATTAAAGAGATGCAAAACCGGACCTTCCAAGAGTGTTATGGGGGAAACTTCCTGGCTCACTGGAACAGAGTTTCCACAGTCAGAAAGCCTGTAATCGCAGCTGTAAATGGATTTGCTGTAAGTGTCACATTTTAGTTTATTATTAACTTTTTTTCCCTTCCAATGAAGAGGTGGTAGGGGTATTTCCTACAGATAAATGAAAGTGACAAACATGACCTTAAAATTCCTCAGAAATATTTCAAAGCAAGGAAATGAATGTGGAAAGGAATAAAACATAAATTTGTGCATTATATATTCCAGAAACTAATCAAAACATCCATGTACCCATCCATTAGCTGTGTCCACTTTGTCCTAAAGGGGGGCTGGAGCCTTTCCAGCTAACATTAGCCACGAGTCAGGATGCACCCTGGACTGGTCGTCCGTCAGTCACAGTACTAAACCTTTACACAGACGAGCATGCATGCTCACATTTACACTTGTCAGTTTGCAGTCACCAGCTAGCCTGTTGTGCATGTCTTTGGACTCTGAAAACAAACTGGAGTAGCCTGAGAAAACCCACACAGACGTTCAGCCGATTTGCAGGTTCAAACCAGAACCTTCTAAAAAAAGAAAACGCTGAACTCAAAAAGAGTAATCACTCCAATCGGTACTGCAACAAATCCAGAGAAAGAAATTTTCATAAACTACGTTTTTTTAGTGTGTACTATTACCGCTGCAAATATCATGTTGTTTTCCCCTTATTTATTATTTATACATGTTATGTGCGTCAATTTTTCCCTTTTAACCTTTTAATATTTAGTATTTCATTTAAGACAGGTTTTTTTCCCCTCCCTCTCGCCTGTTTTCTGTCCTTCTTCTAGTTTTTCCACCTCTATTGACTAAACCATTAACTTACTGTCTCATATCAAGCCCGCAGCTCTGGTTATACTTGTATTTTAAACTACCATTTATCTGCACAATCTATACATATGATTTAAAGCCTGACTGTGTGATTTTTAAATAGAAATGAGCATCTACATTCAATCCAAACGAGTTCACACAATGCTGATTAAGCCTGTTAGCACTCTATCTGTATTTCGTAGTACACTGAAGCCCTAAATCTGGTTTCTATGGTGACATAACCTAGATGGCCAACCAGCAATGATTGGTTTGCCAGAGATGAAGAGGAGAGCAGCTGTAGTGACAGAGAAGGTTACAGCAGCCACGAGTGTAGACTAGGAGTCTGTGACAGAAAAACCTAGGAAAAGTTCATGAAAAATTTCTAAAGCTCCTGATTTTAAAAAAGAAAGAAACTCAACCTTTAGAAGAGAAATGACAGTCTAAAAAAGAAAGTTATTGACAGTGACGCAATAGGCAGGCTTTGACAGTGTTTGTGTAATTCCTCTCACTGTCAGAAGGGGGAGACAAATGTTCTGCACCTCCGGATTGCACCACATTCTGTTTACTGCTGGCTGCACTTGTACACTTTCATTACTCTGACTGAAATCCCACCTAGTTGAATACAAGATTATTAGATGTAAAATAAAAAAAACCTATGATAGCAGAATGTCTTGTCCCAAAACAATAGAAACAAAAATGACTTCCACTCTTCTGGAAAGGCTTTCTAAAAGATCATTAGTGATGCTGGGCAATGATGTGTGGTTCACAGTTGCCACTTTAACTCATCAAAGGATGCTGGATGGAGTTGAGGACTCTTTGCAGACCAGTCTAGTTCTCAGTCACCAGACTGAAAACTTTATTTGCTATGAACCTCACTTTGAGCGTTATGTTACTATCAATTTTATATTTAAAATCAGGTCCAAACTGCTGCCCCAATTTCAAAAGCCCACTGTTGTCTAGATTATCATTAAATGCTATAGTTTTAGATTTTTCATAGTTGTACCATTAAAAACTGCTCCAGACCAAAAAGACAGGGGTGTATAGATGCTTTTGGCTCTACTGTAATGTATATCCAGTATGCGATCAGTTTAGGATGCTCAAAATGTAAACATCATGTAAAACAGTGAAGTGTGAGATTAGTCACTGTGGAGTTCTAAGTCTTACTTATTTCCTCAATGTGTTTCATACTCAGCTGGGTGGAGGCTGTGAGCTGGCCATGATGTGTGATATCATCTATGCTGGAGAGAAGGCGCAGTTCGGCCAACCAGAAATCCTGTTGGGAACCATTCCTGGTAAAGAATTATTTTGTATCGACTTTCCTTCCTGTTGAGACTCATTTCCTTATACTGAAGTCACCAGCTTCCAGCTTTTTGGAGCAGCTCTGCATGACGTCTCTCTGCCTGTAGGGTCTGGTGGCACCCAGCGGCTGACGCGTGCTGTGGGAAAATCCCTGGCGATGGAAATGGTACTAACAGGGGACAGGATTAACGCTCAGGAAGCCAAGCAATCAGGTAATGGCAATGTTGAAAAAGTAGATTTACTAAAGCACTGAGTAATCTGAAGCACTTTTCCTATGTATTTTCATTTGTACTACATTTATACTTTAACTGCACCAGAGTTCAGAGCGAAATATGGAGCTTTTTGTTTGTCTGCAATACAAAACATTGTAAAAGGTGGAAAAACATCTCAGATGGTTCCATTTAACAGCATGTTTGGACCCCAAAGAGGTGAAATTGCCCAGTTAAAATAAATAAATAAATAAATAAATACTGATGGTACTTCTAGAATTTCGAGCAACCTTTTTAATGGAAATTAAGTTTTTTTTTAGAATGCATTATTGCTGACTTAATGAGCTGATCGAAATACTTAACATTCAGCGTAACAATGATGCTAAACTGTTAACAGAATAGATCTGCACTTGACTTAAGATCTGATCTGACCTTTTTACATCAGACATGCCAGTGTGTCTTTAAATACTTGTACTTGACTCAGTAGCTTTTCGTTTCCCAGGTTTGGTGAGTAAAATTTATCCTGTGGAGCAGTTGGTGCCTGAAGCTGTAAAATGTGGAGAGAAAATCGCTTCCAACTCCAAACTGATCTCTGCCATGGCTAAAGAGGCTGTCAACGCCGGTGTGTAAAGTTTTTTATTTTAAAAAGCGGAATAATTTAAAACCAACAAAATTAAATTAGTTTCAGCTTCATCTGACTTGTTGCTCTGTGTGATTGCAGCTTTTGAACTGACTTTGGCGGAGGGTAATCGTTTGGAAAAGCGTTTTTTCCACGCCACCTTTGCAACGGTGAGTAAAGTGCCCAATTAGAGGCAAGTGAGAAGTGTTGACTCTGATTTTTGGAGTCCATCCATGATGTGTGTGTTTGTTTCCGTCTGCAGGATGATCGTAAAGAAGGCATGACTGCCTTTGTGGAGAAGAGAAAGGCCAGTTTCCAGGACAAGTAGAAAAGAGCAGATCAAGTGCTCGGCCAAGAACACAAAGTTGATATCAGCAGATATTGCTTCTCATCTGCAATACGTCGAATGATGCAAAAATCAGGATGGTAGTGGAGCATACAAGCTGTTGAGATGAAATTTTTGCACTGAGTGTGTGCGCAAGAGTGTCTTTTAACAGTGAAGCCCTGCCTGCTGAGGCTCAGTATCACAATCAAATGCAGCCTGGCTGCAGGAGGTTTGTATGTGAATATGATTTGATAATTGTAATATAACAAATGTGTCATCAGACTTGATGCCATGTACTAACTTTGCCTTTTCATCTGTGATATGTCTGTCCGCATTTTGTAGACAATGTATTCTGTGTACCTTGTTCAAATAAAGCTCTAGAGTGGTTTTAAACACTAAGGCGTGAACAGAAATGGGAAAATGTGTCGGCTGTAATAATTAATATGCTCTGACAGACATTTATAATACCAAGCGATACGGTGTAGCTTCTTGTGAAAGCCAGAGGGCAGGAAGTGGTGTCGGCTGCAAATCTAAATCGTGGAGAAGTGAATTCAGCTCACCAGATTTCAACCAGTGTGTGTTTTGCTCCACTAGATGGGGCTTCTGTGCTGTTAGGCAAAGGTAAAGAAAGTTGACTGATAGTGAAGTCTGTGGGCCTCTTGCACAGGCAGGCACCTAGTTATAACCAGATTGGCACATTATTTGGACTTCTAAGTGAAAAATGACAGTTGTAAGGTCATTAAAATACTGTCAAAACAAACCAAATATAAATGCACACTTGGCAGTGTAAGAGTTTGCATGCTGATAAAATTACAACGCATCATTATAACTAAAGAAATGTAACTTTCTTTTTATACTCATAATCACAACAGGGTAGATTTTATGCAGCATTAAATAATTAAATAAACAATGGTCATGAATTTTGGCTTTGGATAAAATTTCAATTAATCTAGGGATCTGTAAGTTTTTCCTCATATTCCTCTTTCTGGTTTAGAGAAAATGATCATGAAATCTCTGCAGCAACTGTGCTTCTAATGCGCAACAACAACAACAAAACGCATGTTTAATTGAAACTGTGAAGAATAATCTGACACATTTATCTGTTTTTTAAGTCGTCGTCTATTGGCTGCAAATATTCTGGATCACATAAAACCATAATTTTGACTTCAAAGAAAACACCAGAACAAATTTGGTTAGTGCGCGCTTTCTTGTGGCGCTCCAATCATCAGGAGGCACCTTTTTTCTCTCTGATCTTCACACGGCGGCGCCCCATATCTTCACAAGGCCATGGCCTAATTGATTTTTTTTTTTCATTCAAAATTCCCCTGGAGCTTGCTTTCTTGTCATCCCCCTGGAACAAAACTTTAGAAAGGAGGAGAGAAAAAAACTCGTCTCTTCACTCTGCGGGGAAGCACAAAAGTCCGCAGAGAGGGCCCGAAAAGAAACTCCTCTTTGAGGCTACCGAAAGGTCAAAATAATAAATGTAGACTCAATTGAGGCTCTCCGAGCAGACAAAGGGGGCAAAACGTTACATTTTGGCAGCGCAGACCCTCATAGCGTGATAAACTCATTTAAAGAAGCCGAAATAAAGAGAGAGCAGCATGGGTCCGGAGAGGGAGAAGGGGCTTTCAGTCTGGCAGACGGGCCTGGCTCCTGCAAGGGCCCTTTCTCCTGCCCAGCAGCCCTTATTTCTCCCCCCACCAAAAAAACACTCTCATATCCCTACACAACGCTGCATCTGTGCCACTCGGTCATGTTGGCGACTTTATCTGCGCTTTTACAGCCAATTTAATAGAATTTTATATTCACATGTGATCTGTTTCTCTGCGTAAAACCATAGACTGTGTGCGTAAAAGTCACTCTAGCAAAGAAGACGAAAAATCTTTACAGAAAAAAGAAGCAACTCTTTATATAAATATGTAAGAAGCTACACATACTAAAGTTTATTTTAAAAAGTTATTGTTCCTTATAGCAAATGATTTTTGTACTAGGACGTGGGCAGACGTTTTCCTGCACAGCAAAAAATAAAATAAAATCAAAATCCAGTGGCATTGCGCACAGATCATCCCAAGTCCTTCTGGTAAATATTGGGATAAAGCAAAACACTCTGTAGGTCTGGAATGCAGAAATATTATGTACATACATTTGCAGATTAAACGCACGCAATAAAGTGCAAACACATCCCTCCTGTTCATTATTAACAGCAGCTGTGTAAGGATTGTAAAGTCAATGTATGAGCCCACAAGCCCGCAACTGTGACTTGACTTTTATAAAAGCCTTTTTATATGCAGATCAGTTTTTTTTTTTCTTCTTCTTCTTAACAGCACCAGGCTCTGCGGTCATGGAAAGGATTCCTCAGCATTTTTTTTTTTTTTTTGCCATCCAGCTGAGAAGTTTTTCTGGCTCAGATGAAACAGGCCGGGTGGAGTGGTTTTCATCTGACAAATATTTTCATTATCTCACATTCTTGGCATCGGAGACCGTGTCGGAATAACACATTCACCGGTGTCTGCTTTGAATTATGCCCACCCAAGGGTGTCAGAGATAACACAGACCGAAGATTAACTGTCGGACTAATGACACTAAACTATTTTATAGCTTAGATTAGCTACCGCAGTGTCATCATGTAACCGTTGCTTGGTGTATTTGCAACGGTGAATGTAAAACATAAATGTCAGCCTTATTTAATATCAATGTGCCTGCTTTTTTTTTTTTTTAACTACATCCTAACCCCAGGATTGAATTTACATGTTATGAATAAAACTAAAATGGATAATGCAGTTTTTTAAATATATATATTTGTGCAGAAACTGAGTTCACGGAGAGGAAATTAAATGATTAATACCGACTGTTTGCGCTTATAATATTTCTTTTAGGTTTGTGTGAAGACTCGGTCTAACCAATCAAATCAGGCCTTCTGGTCACATGACGCGTTTCTTAACCTTTACAAAGATGACCGAGATAGTCAAGATAAGTCAATACGCTTCAAAAAAACAACTTCCATCGGGCAGGCAAAACAGCTAAACAGTCTGAATTTCTAATTTGGTGACAAAAATAAGATCGCACAATATTAAATATGTGGTATTCATCGCCCGCTAAACGGCTTTTCTTTTTTTGCTAATCGGCTATTTTTATGGTTAGCATGTTTGCTAACAAAGACGGGGGTTGGTGGAGTGACTTCTCTCGCGGTGTTTCCATACTCTTTAGCTCTCTGCTCTCTGTAGCTGCCAGGATGGTCGTCCTGAGAGGAATCCCCTCTGTTTTATCACCCGAACTGCTCTATGCTCTCGCTAAAATGGGCCACGGGGATGAGCTGGGTATGATATCTCATTACAGACACACAGATGCTAGCAAGTGATAGCCTGTAAGCTCTGTACATGTTAGGGCAGTAGGCTAATCACAGAGCCTGTCAACACCATGTAAATAGTGACAGAGCAGATCTCACAGAATCATTAACGTGCAGCTACTCAACACTGGCAAGTGCCACAGAGATAACAAGTTGATCAATCCATCATTTGTTAAGTGTTTTCCTGTATTTCTTTCAGTGCTGGCTGATGCAAATTTCCCAGCATCTTCCATTTGTGCTTGTGGTCCTAAAGAGATCAGAGCTGATGGTATGTGCCAGCAAAAACAAATGTGGGGTGAATGTGTGTTCAGACTTGATTCACTGTGCAAACTGTGTCTGATCTTTATGTAGGTTTGGGTATCCCACAGCTTCTGGAGGCCATTTTAAAGCTGTTGCCCCTGGATACCTACGTCCCCTGTCCGGTACAGGACCAACACATCCGCCAGAACCACTGATGTCATTTTTCTACCAGATGATTTTGTTTTCCTGTGTTGAATCTGTGTTCATGTGCATCCTCAGGCTGCAGTGATGGATCTGGTAGACAGTGATAAAGAGAGGTATTTAGTCGTCCCAGTATGGCCGACCTACACAGGGCTGCTGATCGAAGCTGGCTGTCATGTAAGACCACCTATCCACCTCGATATTGAAACATTCAGACTGTAAAACTGATTGAACATGAGTAAGTTTGACTTTTGACTTTCCTTGTACTGATTTCTGTATAGGCTCCTCTCGAGAGGGTGGAAAGATTTGCTTTCTATGAACGAGCCAAGAAGGCCTACGCTGTTGTGGCAACAGGGTGTGTATTTCCTCTGCATTCATTTGAATAATGTAGCTGGATTTTTTTACTCCCTTTCTGCAAAACGAGGAGTGAAACGTGTCAGTTTGTAAAAGTTAAGGAAAAACACTGTCTACAAGAGAAACCTTGTAAGATTTTTTTTGTCAGGTGTCCTTTTTGCAAATCAGCAAAGCTATAAAGTCATAAAATAAGTAGTTTTTTTTCATACCTTTGCATCTCAGCAGCCTGATGAGCAGACTGACTTGTCATTTTGTTTCCCTTCATTCATATGAATTTTTGAACACATTTGACATTTGGAAGATATTTCAAATATGTTTTATTAGATTTTTGACTAACATTTTAATACGGGAGATTGCACAGAACAGAATGCTTTTTAAATCTGTGCTAAAGTCTCATGATGTCTTATGATAAATTTCTGTATTGTCCTGTTTTTATTTTTCCTCAGGGAAACATCTCTGTATGGCAACCTGATACTGAAGAAGGGGGTCATTCCTGCTGATGAGCTACAGTGATGCACACACAAATTTGTTGGTCACTGTTTCAGATTTTAATCAAAAATGTCATTCTTTCCAGTTCAAACCAAGTGAATATTTTTGCATGAAACTGTAGCTTTAGTAATTGTAAATATGATCTCCAGGTTACATGGAGCTGACATGATTCTGTCTTTTTGTAAATAACATCTTTTCATTAAATAAAAAACATTCAATCTTTAAGCTTTGTGTTTATTATAAAGTTGCATATGAGCAGCAGTGTTATTTTCAGTTCAATTCAATTCAACTTTATTTGTATAGCGCATATTTACAACAAGTCATCTCATAGCGCTTAACAAAGGCAGAAACACTCAACAATCCAAAACATTTGGATTCCCCATAAGCTTCAGCATATTTATGTCTCAATTCTCACCGAAGTATTAAATTAGTTTAACACAATCAAATGACTGGTTCAGCTACAGTTTATCAGTCATTTGTCTGATTTTAAATGCTCTACACTGGTTGAGTTATTGAAGGATCACGGGTGGTACAGATCATCCAGATCTTCCTCTGGCTCACTGTACTTTGTCTCAGATGGCAAATAAACAGGAGCTCTGACATTATCTCCATAAGCGACGGGTAGGAGGTAGTCTTTGTGGTAAAGATCATCCATGTCCTCCTCTGGTTTAGAGTGAACCCTGACCTCACTTTCACTCCTCATGCCATTCCAGTCCTGCTCAGGTTCTTCTGACTCCACCTGAATGAAAGCAGGGTGGTAGATATCATCTCTATCCTCTTCTGCTTCAAGACTGTACTTCACGTTGGCATCTTCCTTCAAGGGCTGGATGTCGGCAGCAGGTACGGCATTCTGGTTCATCATTTGAACTTGCAGATCTTCCATTGAAGGATGATACAGCTTATCCAAGTCCTCTTCGGGCTTCTGGAACTGATTTTCTTGTCTGCCACCTGTCATGCTCTTCCAAATCTTCATGCGGGGGTCGATATCATAGTGAATCTCATCCATGTCCTCCGGAGGCTCCACTTCCACTTTCCAGGACATCTTTCCTTCACTGTCTATGGACCTGAAATAAGTATGACGCAATGTCAGTCTGCACTTCATTACTCTTAGTGACGATTGTTCACTTTTATTTCAGTTTCAACAAACTGCAACTTACAGAACAGCGTCCTGGAAGGCTTCACCTGTAAGTTTGCTCTGAAAAAAATAGCACAAATATTACACAACTTGCTGTCCAAATACGCATCAGTGGCCACACAAATAATGTTTGTCATTTTAAAGTCACCAGTAAGATTTTATCATAAGATTTAAACAGTAATATTGGACAGCCAGGAGTGATATATACATACCCAGGGCTTTGCTGTGATGCCAAAAATCAGCGAAACACACACGATTAGACAAATCCTACGAGTGAAAAATGTTGGATTAATGTTTAGAGTTCCGGCTACCGTGGGTCACAGACATTACACACAGACCCGCCACAAAAACAAACTGTGCAACCTAGACACTGTTAAACATTAAAACCAGGTCGACAAGCAGCAACTTTATGAAAAGAATTTCTTACCTGAACATGGTGTCTCTTTTTTTCTGTTCTCAGCTCAGTGTTTTGAACGAGAAACGTTCGCCTGCTGTGGAAATGAAGGACCAAAGTTCCCTCTATAAACCTGCTGTATTTTCTTGACCTTTGTATCCTCTGAACACAGGAGTATCAGCTGTAAGTAATTCTTTGTTCCTTATCTAGTTTGTGTTCTGTACAACAAAGTGGCTTGTCATTTGAAAAAAAATGAAACTGCCTCTGCAACATTTTGTCAAGATAAAAATGTGTTGGCACCAAAAAGAGAGTGCAGTCAAATTCCTCATTCTGTCATCCAGTCTAGCATGTGGATGTACTCTGAACAGAATACATTTAATACCATTCATACTGAAGCTAGCCTTTGTTTTTTGTTTTTTTTTGTTGTTGTTGTTTTAATGTGATGTGAATAAGAAATTATGTTTCTACCATGTTTCTTGTATGCAAAGACAGTTGTTCTAGTACAATTTTCAATCATATGATTACAGTTTTTATGAATAATTATCCTCATCAGCCATTAGTTTTAAGGCTGTTCAACTGTAAGCTGAGGTCAACATATTTTTATCACCAGACAAACTTAATCATGCAGTAATATTCCATCCAATCTCCTTCAAGGGAGATAAGCAAAATCAAAACAGTGCAATATAAATAAAGTTTTATATTATGTATTACCTACATAGAGTAGGTATATAATAAAGAAAAAAATGCTTTCTACTATTTAGCAAAGCAAGAATCACCTAATTTGTCTTTGTTTCTGTGCTCACTGTCATGTATTATTTTAGATTTCTGTTTTTTTTTCTATATACATCTCCAATTAATTTGTTTTATACATTGTTTTGTACATTCATGAGGTTAAAATGTGATGTGTCTGTATGCTCAAATAAGTGGATTTAGCTTTTGTAAAGAAATATGTTATGCCTTTAGAAAGCATAAGATAGCACAGTGTTCAGGCAGAAAGAACATAACTTTTACTGAACTGGTAGCTTTTTAATAAATGTTGCAAAAAAGGACATGGATGTGTTTTTGGCCGTTCATTCTGAGGGTGCAGCATACAGCTACATGGACAATGAAAAGCAGCAATGACTGAATTATATGTAGTTTGTAATGGAGCCTTCAGTTTGCTCTAAGACAGCGGAAAGCCAGGCACATATATTAATTTACAAATTATCTCTCAATAACATTGCTGAACATTTAATCTCTGTTAGTTTGGACTGTAGAAACCTCTTTAAAGCTGCTCCTGAGAAACACTATAGGTTTTCTACATCAAGTGTCAGCATACTAGTAGAACATCTACAGTATGTATCCTGTGGGGGGGTTGGAGCCTATCCCAGCTGACTCAGGGCGAAGGCAGGAGACACCCTGGACAGGTCGCCAGTCTATCGCAGGGCTACACTTAGAGACAGACAACCAAACACACTCAATTTAGAATCACCAATTAACCTCAACATGCTTTTGGACCTTGTGGGAGGAAGTCGGAGAACCCGGAGAGAACCCACGCTGCATGGGGTGAACATGCAAACTCCATGTAGAAATATCCCGGTGCCCCCATCAGGATGCAAACCGGTGACCTTCTTGCTGCGAGGCAACAGTGCTACCAACTACACTACCTTGCAGCCCCAAAAATGAAAATGAAAAATGAGTGCTGCTCGGTGCAACTGAGAAGACACGGCTGACTCAGCTGAGACCAACAGAAATTCTGTGAGTATTCACGCAGAGCAGAGAGGAGACAAACAAATTAGAGAGATCGAGAGGGAAATAAAACACATTTGAGCAATAAAATAAACACAGCATGGCTCAAAAATAGTTTTTACAGAGGAGCAAGATGTCAAGAAGTTATAGGAAGACACATACAGCATGGTGAAGGATCTTTCAAGAATTGATGAGAAGAGCAGTTTGAGAAGCTGTGGTTATAAAAATGTAGATGGTAAAAATCTATAGTATGCAGAGACACCATTTTTCCCCCCAGTATTGGTAACACCTGTTGTAACTTGGGGAAAAAAATAG